CAGTTCAAAACCGAACTGAATACACTATATTATATATTAACATCGTCCCAGATTAATTAGATAGACCGTGGTTCACCATGATCAGACGCCTACGAAACTAAACTGAATTCACTCGCTCGCGTAAAGGAAGACTGAAGAGAATAGGAAGACTGAAGGAAGATAGGAAAAAAATGCCATACCTGGAATCAGCGTTAGTAACCACGGCGGCGGCTGGAGCTACGGCGGAGGGCGAGCCCGGTTTTATCTTCATCTTGGTTGAGCCGATCACTCAGAGCGGCTAGCTCGGCGTCTAACAGATCACCCCTTCCTCGTCTTGAATCGTGGTCTTCACATTGTCGATAGCATCGCTTGGCGCCGCGTAAAGAGTGATGATCTAGCCAGGAAGAGTGTTGATGAAATTCTGCATTCTACCACGGACACGAAATACGGAATGAATAGTGGACTCCTGCTGAACGTTGTAGTCACTCAGGGTTCGGCCATCTGCCAACTGCGTGCCGGCGAAAATCAAACGCTGCTGGTCTTGGGGAATACCCTCCTTGTCTTGGTCAGCAGCCTGCATGTCGTCGTCCTCATCAGCTTCGCCATCACCACCGGTAGCATACATGTAGGTAGCGGGTCGCTTGGAATCGCCATCGGAGTCTCCAGTGAGTGCCGTGCGGAGACAAGGGTGATCCACGCTAGCACCCTGACTGTGCTGCAGGCTTATAAGCAGGGCCAAGCCCAGAAAGGCAAGAAACATGATTCTCATCTTGATTCGTCGCACGGAGCTGCAGCAGGTTGAGGCATGGGGTCTGAGAAACGTGTAAAGTAACAAAGTTGGGTATAGAATGAAACAAAAAGAATTCACCGCTGCCACCAATTTTGTAGCACCATTGCTAATGTAAAACGAGTGGGGTCGAATCTGACAAAGTTGACTTTAACCACTGCTGCCACCAATTTTGTAACGTGCCTGGAGGAAAAAGAACTTAACAACTCCAAACTAACTAACGTGTTACTATTATTATACAATTCTCTCTCTCTATCTAGACGGCAAAACTGTCTCTAGCAGTAAAACTTTGAACTCATTGTGAAAGATAAAATAAACACAATTTATGGAAAATAATCACAAACAGCAACGTACTGTCATGCGCCCGTTGTATGGTAGAACGAACGTCGTAATGAACAGTACGCTGAGCGTATACGCAAATGCTGAGCTGGTAGCGAACGTCGTATTGAACAGTACGCTGAGCGTATACGCAAATGCTGAGCTCAACTGTCATGAATAATTATTTTTACTTTGGCACGATTTCAGTACAAGTTGTAGAACTGCAGAATCAATTTTGTTGTATTGGGGTAACCATTTCTCTACAAACGCTCTATTTGCAAAATAGAATTTTTTTATAAAATGCATATCCAAATTCCACATCTACCCAAATCGGAATACTTGATCACGTATTCAGTACTACACGGAATGTTTAAAAAAAGGCCAGGGAATAGGAATTTGCTAAAGATAACTCCAGGCCCGGGTATTAGCATACGAACAAAACAAGATAAAACTCACCAGTATACTTGTAATTGTAGTAATTTATGTCGGTGTAATATTCACGATAAGCAACGAGGCACCCTCCGATTTGGTCAAGCTGCTTTGAAGTCTGGTTGTTCAGGTGGTACAAACCAGCTCCCCGTTGTTACTTCCAGCAGCTTCACTCTCCCTGCGACAGCGGCTATAAGCCTCTCTCTCCATTGTCGACAATTATCACAGATTCAACATTCTACATTTATCAGCACTGCACTGGGTGAATATGTCTCGAGACGAATTTAGTGGATCAACAACGCTTTGCTGGAGATAAATTCTCCTCTGGAGTACCTTCAGGGTACCTGGAAGGGTATAGAAGACGGGATCGCTCACGACGTTGAGAGAACATAGAAAACAACATCCTCTTCGATTGAAAATTGGCCAAAAAGTGTGTGAAATGTATGTGCGCAGGTGCATTTCCACTAGCAAGCTAATGCCTCATTACGTCATCAGCGCTCGCTCGGCGAAATTCAAAAGTCGTCTTCCTGCTCGACTCGATCGCTTCTGGAGACTCGTTCCTGTTCGAGGGGTCTTCTCTTTCACCTACCTTCGTCTTGGCATCGAAAACTCGGCGTCGAAAATGAAGCCGGAGTGCCCTTTTAAGCTGGTTTGGTTTGCTGGATTCCTGACTAGGTGAAGAAACTTGAGGTGTCCCAGTTTCAGGTGCTGAAGCTGTACTGCTTGCTGACTGGCTTGTACTCACTGTTGGTTCTGAATTTGCACCCACTGTGTCATCCAGTGTCCCCTGGGCCTGGCCTTGAGTACCCTTCAGCGCGCTGGCTGCTGCATCAGCGTACGGACTGGGCCTCCTGGCCATGGCCTGGTTGTGGGTGCAGAGTTTGGCGATATGAGTACTGGAGCCACACTTATAGCACGTGGGAACTTGACCCCTGTGCCAAACGCGCAGTTTCTGACGGGACTCAGACAACATGATGGTGGAGGGTACGATAGCTGTGGGTACTAAGTTTACGAATGTAGTACCAGTTGTGAAGGTGCAGCCTTCCACAGCCTTTGTTTCCCGCTTCGGAACACCAATGACGGATCCAAATTTCTCCATCGCGGACGCAATGGCGGACAGTGGGGTGTCATCCGCCACACCAAATATATGCACGGACACAACTGCTCCATCACCAACTACTAATACTAGTTGTTTTCCTTCAAATTCTAACCCTCTGGACAACACCTCCTCCCTAACGGCCGTGCAGGAAAACGAAACTCTACAGAATCCGCGCCTTCCACTCAGATCCACCTGCTTGATATCATCAGGTCTCACACCACCTGGCAGAAGAAGTCTGATGAAAAAGGCATGATCCTTCGAGGACCACCCTACATTCAGCTGAATGGAACAGATTCTAGGCATCTTTATAACAATTCTACACGCACTCAAACCAGTTTCTGCAGAAAAAGATATCACTATTGGAGCTCAAAAGTTTGCTTCCACTCCCCACGCGTACGGTCTTTTGATGACGAAACTAGTAAGACTATTGTACAGACCGGCCTAACTACAACTCGACGACGCAAAGCAAAACATCACGCAACTAGGGAGGCTCAAGTTTATGTAATGAACATAGAAGGGGAAGCTAAGCGAAGACGAATTGTGACAAACCGAAACGCCACCATCCTACTCAACTCCATTACAGTATCATGTATGATGGACTAGTTATGCACAATAACAAGTAGTTCCACACGATGTGCATTTCGCAATACAGTGTATACGTCATGACGGCTCATCAGGTATGCAAAGTTGAACTCGGTTGTTGAGGCAATAATTATAGTTCTAATGAAGAAAGGAAAAGGGCAAAATGTTGCGAGTTATGACAAACTGTCAACCAACGTAACCAAGTCTTATACAGTCGGAGGGTGCGACAAAATGGCACAAAACTGACAAAGTATATTGTCTCAGTACTCCTTTGTCAGTTTTGTGCCATTTTGTCGCACTCGCTGACTGTATAAGATCTGGTTACGTTAGTGGACAGTGTGTCATAACTCGTAACATTTGTCCTTTTCCTTTCCTCATAATAAATATAACTTAATTTGCCCAACAACCGAGTTCTACTAACATGCCTGATGAGCTAGCTAGGCCAAAAGGCATAGCGTAGTGCCCTGAGCTTCCAAGCTATCTTGTTTGAACTCGGATGGTGAGCCAATTTCATAACTCGTAACATGTTGTCCTTTTTCCCTTTTACCATACTATTGTGCATTTGTCTACAAACTGTTACACCAAGCATATGGGCCGCAACCAGCTAAAACATGTATTAGGGTGAAAATTTTCAAATTATGTTTTTTTCCAGAAAACTGTTTTTTGGATCTTACTTGACCTCTTGAAGGCGGTACAGGGCGCGACAGTAGTCTAAAAGTGCCCCATACATCGCTTTCAAAATATGTACCTTGAAACAGAAAATGACAGTTTTCCACATTTTGACACCCAGGCAAACAAGTGGCTTTTGCAGAGGAACAAAAACAAAGGAACTAAAAATAATGATACGAACTTGCACGTCAATGATATCAAAGTCATGGATCAAGTTCTTCAAGTCATGGATCAAGTTCTTCAAGTCATGGATCAAGTTCTTCCTGAAGAGCACCGACATGCTCTGGGCGGCAGAACTCAAGCCCATTCTTGACGAGGTAAGTGCGCCGAGCCTCAGTGATACCACCAGCCTCAAGAACATTTGGCAGGGCGCTGGGGTCAATGGAGGCTGTTGGCACCTTCGTTGCCTTGCATGATTCTTCTGCTCCGTTGTAGGTGGCCTTCACGTGCACTTCACCTGGAAACTGTGACGAGGAGTGAAAATGCTGAAATTTGGTGATACCAGTAATGCGTCGGAATCTCTCTCCCAGGTAGGTATCCCAGTCCCGCCACTCCCACTCAAAGAGACTGACTTTATTCTGCACTGCAGATGCCTCGATGGCTGTCTTCAACTGAGCATTCGTGTCGCAGTCAGCCGCCCGGAATTTCTTCTTTGCCACTCCAAAACCTCCATCTACGGAGCAACTGGGGTGCCCAACAATCATGAACGACAGGTGGATATCCTTCTCCAGTCCTGCCATCACCCGCCAACAACAATATGCCTTCACAGTGTTTTTTGTCGTGATGATCGCCACCGATTGATGAATGAAGCGCAGCGGGAACGCGCTAAACAAAAACATTTTTCATGCCGTCATTTCTCAATATTTTTTCGAAACCCCGAAGACATGTTTTAGCTTATCGCGCTCCATATAGTGACATCATGTGCACAATCACATTATCACAAGTATTTCACTCCGTCTCCCGCAGTCTCTAGCCTTGGTACCTGTGTTTGCGAGCATGTAGGCAAAGGAATATCTTGCTTGCGAAAAAGTACAAGTTGATCATAGAACTGTTTTAAGTGCCCCCAAATCGTTAGTTGAAAGAGTATTTATCTTTAGATATTGGTACATTCAATGTACTGTGTTTTCTCACCTGCAGCAGTCATTCAAACCTCATCGTCATACAGACTTGGCACCGTGATCGGTGCTGGTATTGGCGGGATGGTTTTTGGGATATTGGCAACGACGTTGGTGGCCGTAATAGTGTATCGGAAATTGCAAGGAAAACCGGTGCAGACTGAAGTTCCGAGTCAGACACAAAATGCAGCATACGAAGAGGCTAATATTGCTGAGAGTTCCCTCACAAAAAGTGATGCTTACGGCGTTGTAGAATCCTCCCCACAACCACAGTATGAATTTATCTGCCCACAATAACTAATTATGCACGTTTCATCCGGCCCTGTAATACTGGTTGCTTTTCCTCCTTCTCTGATTCGTTAAAGGTTCTCTCTGAATACATTCTTCCATTTCTACCCTAGTGTATTTTATTTAGGCTACATTTTAAAAAAAGCCTTTTGCATTTTCTCACTTCGCGGCATTCGGTACCATCTTCTATTATCATATTTTCGCAGAAACTTTCTATTCCTTCGGCGAGTTTCTTTTCTGGGAATATGCCCTTGTTCATGCCAAGAATGGTTCACACATCTTTCAATTTCAACATTCTTTCGTTCTAGTTAAACAATGAAATTCAAATGTATGCTTTCTAGTAACATTATCGTTATCGGAACCCAAAGCTCCTACATAGCAAACCTCATTACCATGCTACAACTAATGCCCTCTTCGTGAAAGAAGTCTTGTATTGGTCATGTCATTAACCCTTTACTGTCCGTACATACAAGCATCGATCCAATGGGATCGATGGGGTAGGCATTTTGAAATTATCGTTACTTGCTCAAATTTTGGAGAGATCGAAATATGTAGGTCGAAGAGAAAAGTCTCAGCTGTCGCCTCGAACAATTCCCGAAGCGATACGAAGAGCGGTTGCTGAGTTATCGCACTCGTAATTCTGGTCCCGGGAAATGTGCGTTCAGAGCGCGACGCGCATGTCGACGGCTGGCATTTTCCCTGTTTACGTCACCTGTTGGCAAGGCTAGACCGATTATAATTCAAAAGTAGGTTCCCGGGAGTCTCTACGAAAATATTTGAGCTCGATACGAGCAACAGGGGTGACATGGTGGATTGAAATCGATCTCGAGCGTGAGCTCAGCGCTTTTGCGCGTTCCCTGGCTTGCAGCGCTGGACCAGTGCATCCTGTGGCGACGAGTGTGGGCTCATTGCGTTCGTCTCGTCAAGACCTTTCCAGGATGCCCAAGATCATGGAAATCGTCAAATTCAAACCAAAGTTACGTCTAATTTTAGTTTCAGATTTTGTGGTTGCGTGGGCTTGTATACATTTTAATCAGACAGTAAAGGGTTAACAATGTTAACTTTTTGTCTAGGGCAATACTGCAAAAATGAACCCGTGCTGTTCTCACTCACGTGATTCTGTGATGCTCCTCTGGCTACATTCTCCGTTTAACTGCATACGAACCCCTCGTCTCGTGCCTATCCTATGGTTAGGGTTAGGGTTAGGGTAAGGGTAAGGGTTAGGGTCAGGGTCAGGGTCAGGGTCAGTGTCAGGTTCAGGGTTTAGGGTCAGGGTCGGGGTTAGGGTGAGGGTTAGCGTCAGTCAGGGTCAGGCACAGGGTCAGGGTCAGGGTCAGGGTCAGGGTCAGGTGATGTGATTCTGTGATGCTCCTCTGTCTACATTCCTCGTTAAACTGCATACAAATCCCTCACCTCGTCCCTATCCTATGGTTAGGGTTAGGGTTAGGGTAAGGGTAAGGGTTAGAATTGGGGTTGGGGTTGGGGTTAGGGATAGGGTTAGGGTGAGGGTTAGGGTCAGGGTCAGGGTCAGTGTCAGGGTCAGGGTTTAGGGTCAGGGTCAGGGTAATGGTAAGGGTCAGTCAGGGTCAGGCACAGGGTCAGAGTATTGGTCAGGGTCAGGGTCAGGGTCAGGGTCAAGGTCAGGGTTAGGGTTAGGGTTAGGGTAAGGGTTAGGGTTAGGGTAAGGGTTAGGGTTAGGGTTAGGGTTAGGGTTAGGGTTAGGGTTAGGGTTAGGGTTAGGGTTAGGGTTAGGGTTAGGGTTAGGGTTAGGGTTAGGGTTAGGGTTAGGGTTAGGGTTAGGGTTAGGGTTAGGGTTAGGGTTAGGGTTAGGGTTAGGGTTAGGGTTAGGGTTAGGGTTAGGGTTAGGGTTAGGGTTAGGGTTAGGGTTAGGGTTAGGGTTAGGGTTAGGGTTAGGGTTAGGGTTAGGGTTAGGGTTAGGGTTAGGGTTAGGGTTAGGGTTAGGGTTAGGGTTAGGGTTAGGGTTAGGGTTAGGGTTAGGGTTAGGGTTAGGGTTAGGGTTAGGGTTAGGGTTAGGGTTAGGGTTAGGGTTAGGGTTAGGGTTAGGGTTAGGGTTAGGGTTAGGGTTAGGGTTAGGGTTAGGGTTAGGGTTAGGGTTAGGGTTAGGGTTAGGGTTAGGGTTAGGGTTAGGGTTAGGGTTAGGGTTAGGGTTAGGGTTAGGGTTAGGGTTAGGGTTAGGGTTAGGGTTAGGGTTAGGGTTAGGGTTAGGGTTAGGGTTAGGGTTAGGGTTAGGGTTAGGGTTAGGGTTAGGGTTAGGGTTAGGGTTAGGGTTAGGGTTAGGGTTAGGGTTAGGGTTAGGGTTAGGGTTAGGGTTAGGGTTAGGGTTAGGGTTAGGGTTAGGGTTAGGGTTAGGGTTAGGGTTAGGGTTAGGGTTAGGGTTAGGGTTAGGGTTAGGGTTAGGGTTAGGGTTAGGGTTAGGGTTAGGGTTAGGGTTAGGGTTAGGGTTAGGGTTAGGGTTAGGGTTAGGGTTAGGGTTAGGGTTAGGGTTAGGGTTAGGGTTAGGGTTAGGGTTAGGGTTAGGGTTAGGGTTAGGGTTAGGGTTAGGGTTAGGGTTAGGGTTAGGGTTAGGGTTAGGGTTAGGGTTAGGGTTAGGGTTAGGGTTAGGGTTAGGGTTAGGGTTAGGGTTAGGGTTAGGGTTAGGGTTAGGGTTAGGGTTAGGGTTAGGGTTAGGGTTAGGGTTAGGGTTAGGGTTAGGGTTAGGGTTAGGGTTAGGGTTAGGGTTAGGGTTAGGGTTAGGGTTAGGGTTAGGGTTAGGGTTAGGGTTAGGGTTAGGGTTAGGGTTAGGGTTAGGGTTAGGGTTAGGGTTAGGGTTAGGGTTAGGGTTAGGGTTAGGGTTAGGGTTAGGGTTAGGGTTAGGGTTAGGGTTAGGGTTAGGGTTAGGGTTAGGGTTAGGGTTAGGGTTAGGGTTAGGGTTAGGGTTAGGGTTAGGGTTAGGGTTAGGGTTAGGGTTAGGGTTAGGGTTAGGGTTAGGGTTAGGGTTAGGGTTAGGGTTAGGGTTAGGGTTAGGGTTAGGGTTAGGGTTAGGGTTAGGGTTAGGGTTAGGGTTAGGGTTAGGGTTAGGGTTAGGGTTAGGGTTAGGGTTAGGGTTAGGGTTAGGGTTAGGGTTAGGGTTAGGGTTAGGGTTAGGGTTAGGGTTAGGGTTAGGGTTAGGGTTAGGGTTAGGGTTAGGGTTAGGGTTAGGGTTAGGGTTAGGGTTAGGGTTAGGGTTAGGGTTAGGGTTAGGGTTAGGGTTAGGGTTAGGGTTAGGGTTAGGGTTAGGGTTAGGGTTAGGGTTAGGGTTAGGGTTAGGGTTAGGGTTAGGGTTAGGGTTAGGGTTAGGGTTAGGGTTAGGGTTAGGGTTAGGGTTAGGGTTAGGGTTAGGGTTAGGGTTAGGGTTAGGGTTAGGGTTAGGGTTAGGGTTAGGGTTAGGGTTAGGGTTAGGGTTAGGGTTAGGGTTAGGGTTAGGGTTAGGGTTAGGGTTAGGGTTAGGGTTAGGGTTAGGGTTAGGGTTAGGGTTAGGGTTAGGGTTAGGGTTAGGGTTAGGGTTAGGGTTAGGGTTAGGGTTAGGGTTAGGGTTAGGGTTAGGGTTAGGGTTAGGGTTAGGGTTAGGGTTAGGGTTAGGGTTAGGGTTAGGGTTAGGGTTAGGGTTAGGGTTAGGGTTAGGGTTAGGGTTAGGGTTAGGGTTAGGGTTAGGGTTAGGGTTAGGGTTAGGGTTAGGGTTAGGGTTAGGGTTAGGGTTAGGGTTAGGGTTAGGGTTAGGGTTAGGGTTAGGGTTAGGGTTAGGGTTAGGGTTAGGGTTAGGGTTAGGGTTAGGGTTAGGGTTAGGGTTAGGGTTAGGGTTAGGCCTTGCATCAGGATGCTGGTTTTTTCGGCATAATGGCACATTATGAGGTACTTTGGCGAACTTCAAAAACACTTTGGCAACTATTTAAACATTTTTGGCAGGTCTCTTATCCTAAAAATTTCCTAAAACGAACACTTTTTAGGGGAATAGGCGAAAAATAAGGCTCTACTTTCTAGCATCAGGGTTTACTTTCTAGCATCAGGGTTACACTTTCTAGCATCAGGGTTAACTTTCTAGCATCAGGATTTTGCCAAAATTGCCAAAATTTGCCAGTTAGGTTATTTTGATATTTATCGACTTTATAATCATAATTAGGGTGTATTATCCTATGATAAGGGTTAGGGTTAGGGTTAGGGTTAATAATAAGGTGATATTTAGTGTTAAGTTTAGGGTTAAAAAAATTCTGTTACTTAAAGGCCAAATTACTTTCTGCATCAGGGCTCACTTTCTAGCATCAGGATTTACTTTCTAGCATCAGGTTCTGGCGTATTTTGGCAAAAGTCTTATATCTTTGTCAATTTTCAAAATTTTGAATTAATTTCTTCGGTTGTACGGTGTACAACCTCAAGCGCTTCACCTCCAATAGTCGAAAAAGTGAATTTCGGACTTTTATTTTTCGCTGATGCAAGAAAGTAAACCCTGATGCTAGAAAATAAAACCCTGATGCTAGAAAGTAGGGTTGCCAAAATCCTGATGCAAGGGTTAGGGTTAGGGTTAGGGTTAGGGTTAGGGTTAGGGTTAGGGTTAGGGTTAGGGTTAGGGTTAGGGTTAGGGTTAGGGTTAGGGTTAGGGTTAGGGTTAGGGTTAGGGTTAGGGTTAGGGTTAGGGTTAGGGTTAGGGTTAGGGTTAGGGTTAGGGTTAGGGTTAGGGTTAGGGTTAGGGTTAGGGTTAGGGTTAGGGTTAGGGTTAGGGTTAGGGTTAGGGTTAGGGTTAGGGTTAGGGTTAGGGTTAGGGTTAGGGTTAGGGTTAGGGTTAGGGTTAGGGTTAGGGTTAGGGTTAGGGTTAGGGTTAGGGTTAGGGTTAGGGTTAGGGTTAGGGTTAGGGTTAGGGTTAGGGTTAGGGTTAGGGTTAGGGTTAGGGTTAGGGTTAGGGTTAGGGTTAGGGTTAGGGTTAGGGTTAGGGTTAGGGTTAGGGTTAGGGTTAGGGTTAGGGTTAGGGTTAGGGTTAGGGTTAGGGTTAGGGTTAGGGTTAGGGTTAGGGTTAGGGTTAGGGTTAGGGTTAGGGTTAGGGTTAGGGTTAGGGTTAGGGTTAGGGTTAGGGTTAGGGTTAGGGTTAGGGTTAGGGTTAGGGTTAGGGTTAGGGTTAGGGTTAGGGTTAGGGTTAGGGTTAGGGTTAGGGTTAGGGTTAGGGTTAGGGTTAGGGTTAGGGTTAGGGTTAGGGTTAGGGTTAGGGTTAGGGTTAGGGTTAGGGTTAGGGTTAGGGTTAGGGTTAGGGTTAGGGTTAGGGTTAGGGTTAGGGTTAGGGTTAGGGTTAGGGTTAGGGTTAGGGTTAGGGTTAGGGTTAGGGTTAGGGTTAGGGTTAGGGTTAGGGTTAGGGTTAGGGTTAGGGTTAGGGTTAGGGTTAGGGTTAGGGTTAGGGTTAGGGTTAGGGTTAGGGTTAGGGTT